TCCCCCCCCCCCCCCATCCTGCCGTCTTATCACATTCTCGTCTTTATTAGCGTCACGATAATGAAGCGACGAGGAGTCGAAAATATATAGAGACTCAATGATATTCCAGACACGTGCTTGCATTTGCATTTGGTAATTATCTCTGTTCTATTTCCATAACATAATTTCATCGCCGCTCTCTGCTATGTCTTATTGAACTTCATCAAAGAACTCGAGTCGATTTCACTGTCTGTCCGTTTAAATGGGTTTTATTAGTTGCAGCCGAAACTGTACATTTCGGATCTGGTTTTTTACTAGAGTTTCGTTACTACGTGACTTACAAGTTTTACTTTTGAATGATAATTAACTGATCTACAGTTGGGTTCGAGAATAAATTGAAAACAACATATCGAATTGCTGTATCTATGATCTGCGATAAATACATGCCAATTGAAAGTCACTATCTACAAGACTGATACTGAAAATCTTGGTATTGCGATGTTTAACAATTTGTTAAGAAGTTTGATTAATTATTAAGGATCGACGAATCAAGTAGCTTTAGTCAAGAGCTGATCTCGTGTTTCACGGAAACGTTACTTTGCTCAAACATAATTAGTGGAAATAATGTTTGACGTGTAAATTCTCATTGTGCCGCTGGGGTCCGTGGCAACGGAGAGCGTCAACGGTTCGTATAATATATTTCCCAAGAGAATGACATCGAGATTGTAGAAATGAGTAAAGTGCTTTGAGTCTATAGGAGGAGGTATTTTCGATAAATGAGACAATCGTATAATATCGTGAGACCATTTTTAAATGTAGTATTTACCCGAGTGAAAATTATTAATCATGGAAAGCTATGACGAGGAACTCTTAATCTCCGAAAACTGCAACGTGGATCTCCTAGGCTTTGAAAAATATCATTTTTGTAAAACTGATTATTTCGTTCTATATTATTTTTGCCATTCCGTATTACGACTCCCATATTTTTCTTATACATTTCCCGTGGATCACGTAAATTTAATTTTAAGCCTACATTTTACATACAACATCGTAACCGAATAGTCTTTTCACGAGCAGCACGCGTGTTACCTTACAGGTTCTATTGTACATATGAAATGCTTTCGAATAAAAAGTTTAAGTTTCTCCGCACCAATCACAAATTTTCTATTTACTTAGTTGGCAGTACCAAAAAGGACCGCTGATAGTCACTATACTAGTATTTATTTTCCTCCGCCTCAAATATACACGAGTATAATACAAAGCGTATACGCATTAAATGAACGAAGCTTCCATATCAACGTAAGCGTAGGTGCAAAAATGTATTATCTCGCGAAAGTAGCAATTTCGCAAAGTGAGAATGATTTGGTCTGCCGTAAATACGTGTAACCTGTCCCATGATAAACTCCTCCAGTAGCCCTATAGGTCGTCATTACGTCGGGAACCAAGAGCGTTAAGGGTATACCAGCGATAAGTCCCATTATTCCCTCAGTTATTCACTTTTTAGGGCTCATTAAATAAGACATCCGCCTCCATCCTTCCCACACCCCCTCGCCGCCCTGTAAGATTATGTCTACGAAGAATGGCGTCATAAAACGTCCGTATGGTATTCACTGTCGCAGATAACTTTAACCGAAGCCCAACGTGCGAATCGTAAGTAGAGTTGAATTATATTAGGTATGTGAAATAATTAAAAAACTTGGAAAATCGGTATGAAAATTCTCATTTTTTTTTTTTACTTAAGAAATAAAAGATAGTCACCAGGGCGAATGCAATGTACATTTCCAATAGGTTACTGCTAATGCACCAGTGAGAAAAGTGCAACCGGTAATAATCATAACCATGAGCCATATGTATACCCGTGAAGTTGGCTCCCTGAAGTTGTGCTCCAGTTGCATAAATTCGAGGCTGTAGTTGGTTCGAGCATGGCGGACGGTCGTTCGCTACCTATAATATTGGCGGAAGAAAGTTGGTCTCGTGAGACATAAAAGAAGGAAGAGAAAAGAGGGACTCGAGACCAGACACGTCCTCAGTATGGTAGTGGTTGCGATGCTATCTTCTGGTATCGTTACGTATGAAGAGACCCTTATACTATATACAATATGGTGAGACTTACCGTCATGGGAGTCATAGAGGTAGATGATTTTCTTCCAGCCGTAATATCGTACGGTGTCGATGATAGCGCGATGGTAATCCGGTCGCATGCTTATCGCAAAGTCCAGGAAACCAGAGGAGGGAGTGAGCACCTGTGTCAAATCGAGAATACATTAATTGATTTTGGATTTTATGTATACGTATATCTGTATATATGGCTTATAGCTGGTACAGTACTTTGTTCGAATGAGAAAGAGTTTTAAATGATGGCGGATTAAACGATGCTCCTATGCGGAAATCAGTATATTCACAGTAACATCGTACACGTGTTACATATAGCAATAGATACTTGTATATCATACTATATACTAGGAACAATGGAATCGTTGTAATTCGCTGCCGCAAATAAATTCGGTTAGTCAAATTCGTTTGGAAATGTAAATTGGAAAATGCGGAATCTGGCTTCATCCCACGGATTGATTGAACAGTCAAGTGGAGTATGTGCATCGGGCTCTTTATAAAATAATGGTGATATCACATTACAAAGAGGCTAGCTGTTCGATCTAGCAGATCGACCAATTCATTCCGGAAATTGGTTTTACGAGAAACAAAAATGTGCGCGATAAGCAGCTGGCTTAGATGGCGTAACACATAAAGTGATAACGTGTTAGACAGATGTAGTATCAATAAGAAAATTTCTATGTTATTGATTGTAAACAGTTAACTAATTCTTTTATTGGAGCCAATAGATACCAGTAGACATACATTATCTGTGTCGTTTGTTCATCTGTCTGGTCTAAACTTAAATCTCTATGGTTACCAGAGATGAGGTAAATAATGCAAAGTTGTTGTGACTGAGAACTACATATTTTACCCTGGAGAGAAGTGTATAATAATTAATTATTTGAAGACTGATAATTATCACGTATAAAGAAGACACTCTCACGTGTTTCATGTGGCGGGGCCAAAATATAATAGAGGCATTGATTATACCTACGATATATTATTACAAGGCTAGTATAGGCGCAACGAGAACCGCATTTTATGGAAAGTCTCGTGTATCGATACAATAGTGCCCCGTGAGTAATCGTTAGACCTTAGAATAAATGGATCTGCCGTGAAAAATTGCGTCACCAGCTTAACTCGAATTGTTTAATTATTAAATGACGGTACATTCACATGTTACTCCATGTCAAGCTGTACTGTTATATTTTGAGGAAACAAGCAGCTTTTCTCAATCCATGACCAAGTACCACTTTTTTTACAGGTAAATTTTGAAAAAGTTATTATTTGATAACCCATGTATCGTAAATCTCAAAATAAAAAATTTCGTATATTTTCCGAAACTTGCAACAGTAATCAGAATCTTATTAGCTGTTTGGCTAAGTATAACTATTGGATTTGCAGCTTTAACCACTGAAACTGACATTTAATTGGCGATGACGCGGGCCCACACGTGCAAAACGATGGTTGCTCGCAGATAGCTGAACTTCTCGGAGGCGTGATTTCCGACTCGGTTGTTACTTCGAACGACATCAAAAGTATGAAAAAGTGCTTACCTTTTCAGGAAACCATGGCGTGACAAAAGGCATTTGAAACGTGTTGCTGTACGAGTGAAGCGTGTCAAAGGAATCCGGACTGACTGCCCCCAGCATAGAGAAAACACCCCTGCTGAACTGACTGCAAACTGGGCAAAAAAATGAAGAGATATTTGAGAAAGTGAAACAGAGGAATTAGCTTGACAAAAGATATGCAAAGAAGATGCTTGAAAAGATACAAAATAATTTTCGATATGACGCGAATTAGCATGACAGCGGAAGTTGTGGGTGATTTTTTCACCCTTCGTTACTAAATATCAATCGTTAGGACTTCCATCCTGTCGCGTCGCTGTTTGCACAGACATATTTGTGGATAAAAGTTTATTATGTTTCTCTGCGTTACCTGCCTACTAAAAGCTTGTTTTACCTACATACCATCCGGTGTTTATGCTACAGTATGTTGACACGTGCAAACCTGTGGATTATGCAATGTACTACAATCCCCATAGAAAGGATACATACTAGGCAGACACATTATGCAAGTTAGGGCATCCTATGTGAATGAGGCAAATTACGCATGAAGAGCAGCTGTTTCAGTTTCAAAATTTTACTACAATTTGACGGAAGAAACTTACGGATGCTGTATGAAAGTTTTTGTGCGATTTCTCAGTCTGCTTATTGACGGTATGTTTTTTGTGTAAATACAATGTTTCCGGCTTCCGTTACACAATATAGATATATCGACGATAAGCACTGGATTTTAGCGACAGAGTCGTAACATTTATGCGAAGTGACTGACCGATCGCTCTTTTTTAGTAATAAGAAGTTATACAGTGGATTTTTATTGGAACTGGATTATATATAATTTTGGGCTAGTAAATAAGATAAGGCTCACCGTAATACCATTTGGCTGAGATTTGGGAAAACGATCCTGATACACGTAGCCAGCCGACGATTTCGTTTAAACGAAATTTATGACGTCTCCAACGATATTTATTTTTACGATCTTATTTTAGGTCTGGCTAAGCGTTTTATCACTCAAATCCAAACTCACTTATTATCCTTAAGTGGATTACGATATAATCCCTATAATCTGAGATGACTGAATGTAGAAAAATAACAATTTTTAAAATCTTCTACCCCATCGTCGAATTCCTTCATTAACATATAAAAGGTCATGGGTGAAAGTCCACGTGGGCTAACAAGCTTCGCCAAGTTAATATCCAGTCCCAGATTCTCCTGATACTCTCCATAATACCCTTTTAACTTTAAAGGCTGATATCACCTGTTTCAGGCAACCGGTGAACGATGCACCAAACATAAACGGCCAATAAGAAGTTAGAAATTTTAAACGGACAAGATAATTACGAAGAACCACCTTTAGTCACGAAAGTTCGTTCAAAGAGGTTCTTTGAAATTATTATCAGGAAGTTGACCAGCAGCATCCATTTCAAAGGTTCAGTTTCAAAGACATCACAGCATATTAAATATTCTCGTTGTCATTACCATTCCCTACGTAATATTCTAGAAATTATGCATAGGATAGGTACTTCATTTTAATTATTCTTTTATGTCGGCCTGTACGCCGAAAAGTCATTTTATTCCTTTTTCGTAATGCGTGGCCAACGTGAGCCACCACCCGACAGAAAGTGAACACGAGGCGGAGTCATGGAAATAGAGACACACACGCGCTTACGTACATAAATAAGCGTAGACGTACCAGAGGAAGGGCAGAATGCAGAGATCGCCGGGTTGTACCAGTGGAAGCATTTATTGTGGACCCCGAGGGTGCATTTATATTCATAAGCATAATGGGCCACCATGATATATGCCGTACCTTGGTCAAGCCTGCCCTTTACCGTTTTTCTCATTATTAATCACTCAGTCTCAGCCCAAGTCGTTTCTAACCCTCCGTTACTCGAAGAAAGGACCAGAAACTCTTGCCAAAAATTGTCATCCTCTCGTAGGATTCGAAGGGACAGCAATTTCTCCCAGTAAAATTTACGAGTACACCCTCATATCGATTTACCACATAACTTATATACTGTCTTCACTTCATATATTCTCACAGTTAATATATTTAATAAACCGAAACAATCCCCTATAATCTTGAGAATAACAATTATTTTCTTGCGATATACCCAAAGTTTATATGCTCATTCATACTGAATAGCCAGAGAGCTATAACTGTAGTATACTATACTTACTAAATGTATATCTGTATATACAAGGGTTAATAATGCAAGTATAGATGGTAAGATATTCCATGGACTCTTAAGCAATAGCGATTCGGTTAAACCAGTCTTAGCGAAGGGCAGGATGGTGGTAGGTAGGTACGAGGGTTGCAAAAGAGGTAGCAGATGGTCGCAGGACTATCGACTCTGTATTGGCACTAACTAACCAAGTTATCGTACATTATTATATAGGGCAATATACTGCCAGGGTTAATGCAGTGCTGTGCTAATGACGCCGGGAAAGTTTGCGCACTGTTGCAGACTGCTGTTGTCGCTGGTATTGCAGTTGCTCGTGTCGCTGGTGGCTATGTTGTTGCTGCTGTTGCTACCGTGCTCTTGATGTTATGTCTTCAAAGAGCAGTACAGCTATTAGCCGTGAACGCAATGGAGATCGATATCTCCGTAAGTGAATTTTCCTTTTCTTCGACGACGGAAACTCACGAGATAGACCACATCGATTAGGTATAGGTTCATTTCAATTTCTCCGTACTAGTACTACACGGTAAGAAGATTTACCCTCCAATATAGTCCTCGTATAACGAACTCTCCGTCAGAAATCCCCTTACAGTTCCATTCCTTATTTCCTTTATAGATTTTTCTTGAATCGTATTACAACATCTGTAACAGTTACAGTACACCCATGACTGATCATTAAATTTTTTAAATTTATATCACATAGTGATATGAAATATCATTAGAGCTACAAATTGAATATTGTATGAGCAAAGTATAGTTTTTTAAAAAATTTATTATTAAATTTGTACAAGAAGATTAAATTATTAATTTTATGATTATTATCAGAGACTGGATCGATGTCGGATTTGATGATGATGAGAAACGTCACAATATGGAATCTACTGAAGTTGGGTATCCTAAACTGCCAGTAAGTTAATATCCGACAAAGTCTGAGCTAACAGTCGTAATTCCACTGCGGCGTCTAATCCAACATATCTCAGTACGTACAATCGTTTTTAAATCATGCTAATCGTTATAACAAACCTTAAAAGTTTTCGGACTCCCTTGAAAGGAGTCATCGTTCCCACAGGGTTCTTGTTAATATTCTTTATAAATAATAGAGACAAATGACCTTTTATAAAATATAACATCCAAGTATTCGACCCAAGTTCCAAGAAGTCGGCTATACGTTTCACGCAAGAGATCTTCTGCTTCCTCTAAGCACTATTGGATCCTCGTACACATTGAATAATACATGTCGAACATGTAATGCACTTTCAGAGTTATATTGAGATAGATAGATAGAAACGTATAGAAACAGATATAAAAATGGCGAATACTATCCATAATATCTGATCGTGTATCATGAAGTCTGACAAGACTAGTGTCGCATACCTAGTGACGACTGAAACAACAGTCATTAAAATATTGCTTAGCAAAAGTAATCAAATACTAAGTATACTATATAAACAAATGACTTAACGTTATAATCCAACCGTATACAGGCGAATATAAATTAGTTCAAAAGACGATAGCGCTTCAGGTTTGCAACTACCACTATGGCCTTCCCGAAGTAACAGTTTGCCAACGAGGTCAGGAACCTGGGGATATCGTAGGTATTTAGCAACAGTGAAATAACTAATTCAAACTAACATTCATAAGTCATTTAACCCGGTAACTTATCCTATCACACGGGTTCTTACTACTCCCTTAACAAAGAGCTGTGCATGGCTCCCTTTAGACATAGATCCATTAATACGCTAACTTTATCAGGAATTTTTCACACCCCGATCACACGTCACTTCTTGAGTAGGAAATAAAGTTTTAGTGATTTCGAGCTATTGCGCAAGTCGATGGCAGCTTTTGTATTATATTGTAGTATATGATACACAGGTGCACGATAGTACATTTTGAAAATAATGATCGTTTCTTTCGTCTTGCCTTTGAGATAAGGAGTATGTATTTTATATTATACATATATGTTTTGACGATACGTATATATAAGGTGGGTATCGGCGGAAAGGACAGAAGGAAGACTGACATTAATATCACCCAAAAGGAATACAAAGAACGTGGCTATGGAGGGAGGATTATAATTCCATTTATCTAGATGCCACTGCGAAGATTTCACTTTCGCCGTGGCGCATTTTTATGAGGGGATCGATGACTTGGAAGCTGCCCTATTCTCGTTGCCTGCACAGCCCTCTCGGTCGTCGCCGCAAGCCTCAGGGACTTTTCGTCCCAACGACTCGAGTCAGGAAGAAGCCATTATTCTTTCTGGGTGCTATAGGTGTCGCGCGTAATAACATCCAGGAATTCTAAGAGCGGTCGCGACGTCGTCTCGCTATTCCACTGGTACCTACTTCGTGCGGCTTTCTCTACATTCATAAAGTGTCCTTAAGAAAAGAAAATTTTTTTATACCCAGCTAATGAGAAATCGTATGTTTCAAAGGAACATCAAGATCGATACTGATGTTGATATTCTACTTTTTCTTTGTATGCTGGATCAATTTTTTTAAAGCAGAGTAAGGGTACATATTCAATGCTCAAAAATGACTAAAGTCGTAATTCTTCGCACGCAATAAGCAATTTGAAGCAATATTTGGATAAAGCACAGTTATGTAGTCGTATGTGCTGGTGATGTTTACGAAAATATGTGAAAGCAGGGTTTAAGTATTATACAGATGAAGAAACGTAAAGAAGCACTGAAGAAAAACCGTGGAAAAGTGATATTATTCCCTAGCTGCTTTCCTGCACTGTTTTTTATTTCCTTTTTTCTCTCCCCTACCTTCTACACCCGTTTTTCCACTTTCTTATCGTTCCCGACGTTGTTTCGAGAATCCTGCGAAAAATAGCACGAATCCGAGTACGACATTTGACTGCGAAGATTGCGAGAAATACATATATATATATACTGCATATACATATATAATGTAGTACTACGATGTAAAAGGAACTGC